GAACTACCTGCACTTACAGCCGAGTACAATCCTCTGCGGGAGCTGCGCTCTAATTATGAAGAAATCAAAAGCTTCCCATAATAAGATCACCTGAAAATAAAGGTTTTAAAACACAAGGTTTAGTAACAAATTTATATAACGCTGTAGCATTAGATGTAATTGAATTATTACGAGAGGATTAAGAAAATCCTGCAGGAACAATCTGCTGCTGTGACTTCCCCTCCTACCACTGCTGATGAATAGTGTATGCAATTTAATGCTAGGAAATAATTAGCACAAATGGGAAAGACGGTGAAACCTAAGATGCTTGATCTGTGGCATGCATTAGGAGTTCAGCAGTTTAAAGGAAAGGCTCTCCAATAAGGAAATGACTTGTCTCACTCACACCAGTACTATACAGGGGTTGTTGCTAAAGAGGAGCTTTTCCAGAATGACAGGTAACTATAATTGTGGTTTATATTGGTAAAATTACCCTCTGTGGTAAGACTGTGCAAGTCCCTTGGCATCCGGCGCTCCAGAACCTCTATGCTCCCACTAATGATTCAGAACACAGAGATCAGAGGCCAAGCATATTTGGAAATATGAATATAAAAGAACCAAATGGTGATCAAAACCATTATGAAACCTCCCCAAATTTTCTTTCGGATGGAATGATCTGATGCAGCCCCAAAAACACAAGTAGCAGTTCTTATAAGATACCTCAGCCTTGCTATCGTGGAGCTTCCTGGAATGATGCCACTGTTAACGTTACAGAGGGTATCTACAGGACCAACTGTTTCATCCATGTGTGCAATACAAAAAAAGCTGATTTCAGACTTGCTATTTCAGACTCAGTGAGTGCACATCCCTTGCTGGAGATGACACTGTGAAGCCTAGACACTATTTTAACACCAGTATCGGGGCGTGATGATTTTTCACAGGTCCAAGTTTGTTTCAGCAAGTGACCTGCAATCTGCAGAAACACAAGTAGCAGCAGAAAAATCAGTAGCAATTGTCCTTGCACACACAGACTGAGGCCAGTCTCTGCTGAGCAGAAACGTGAACGAGCACACGTCTCTCCCCAAGCTTGGAGGGCTTCTTGTCCAACTGCTTGACCTCCACATCTGCCCCAGCTCTTCAGCTTTTATGCAAAGCAGTGAACATTGAAAGGGTAAAACTATCAATACTCGTGCAGCGTGCAAGTGGGTCCTACCATTATTTTTATAGTATTTTCTCATGATGCAGCCTGAACAGCTTCATGGTGACTATTTTTGCCAGATGTTCCTGCAGAAGAAGGTGTTTTGTGGACTTGAGCTCGGTTTGTCCCACAGGAGATGGTTTCTGGTGACGGCTCGTATGCCCGTGGTGTGCGAGATGGGACTTACTGCATGATTAGCAGACTCGCCTGCTGTTCTGCTGTCAACGGCCACGTCAGCCCGACGAGGCTGCTTGTGCAGGGTCACATTAATAAGAATGAAGACCTTTCCCTTAGACTGTAACAGCCTTTTTGCAAGGAAGTGTGAAGGGAACACCAGGGATAGATAACGAACTCCGTGTCTTTATCCATATAGAAATAGTCTTTATTTCCAGGGCACAATTTGCAATATATCTATATCTTGGCTATAACTGTATCTATATATACTATACCTTCCAGAGTTGGGCTGCTAACATTACTTTGACTCAGTTAGGCCTCCAAGGCAGGATTTCCATTATTATGGAGATGAACTACCTTTAATGACTGCAATAATGTAATTGTACCCCAGGGCGGAATTCCTAATAACATGACTGTATAATTTGCAAGCACCAGCAAGAGATACCTCGAGGGCAGGTTACTCATTAGGGGTGCAGAGCCACTCGCACAGCCTCCAGAGAGGAATAGGAAACCTAGAGCAACACAGCTCTTTTCTCCACGATAGACTCTGCCTTCTGGGCAAATATCCAACAACACACATCGCTTTGCCTCCTGGACAGCTGTAGCCTCCAGACAGGAATCCTAGCAGCAGAATCTAATGCATGTTATTTCTGTCTCCAGAAAGTCGACCCTGATATTAGCTTGATCCCTGAAAAGCCCCAAGAGCCCCAAGAGCAAGGCTCGGGTGATTGCCCCTGTGTAAATCAAGGGAGGACACACATCAGAGCCCAGCACGAGAGCTGACACATTAATGTCATTTTGAAGACCCTCTGGAACGGGGAGACTCTCTACCCTGATTAACCTGCACGTGCCCAAATTTGGTCTGGAAAAGTATTCGGATGTGCAAGAGCTTCTATGAAGCTCAAAGGAACCTTTTAAGGTCAGTCAAGTTGGAGACTTCATTTAAGTAGCTTCACTCACACCTACTGCAAGCTTTAGCTTTCTGCCCTATGTGAAAAGACTCCAGCAACAGGTGTGTTTTTTTTTTCTTTTTAATCTTTTTCCATCTTTTTTCACATGTTTCAAGAGATCTTTCCAACAGCAAATGAAGTTGCCCGTTGAAGCCCACACCAAGGATGGCAGCGAGAAACCAGGACCACAGCAATGCAAAGTGGACCAGGAGTCGCTCAGTCTCTTCCGTCCCTGCCAATCCAGACATAGAGCTGCTGAAGCCACGCCACAGGACAACAGAATTCCTGAATTCCATGTTTCCTACCATCTCCAGCTGCAGATTCCACAGATGGCACAGCTAATAGCATTGATGAAGAAGACCGAACACACTCACCCACCCGCACATAAGAGTTAAACAGGCCCAACTGCCACATCCAGCGGGTTCATTAAGACATTTACCCAGATAGGTCTTGCAGGATTAACCCCTAGGGCTGGGCGAGCACAAGATTTCACTCCTGGAGCCCTGATGTGCTCGGCACGAGTGGGAAGGGGACAGTGGCAGCCAGCCTGCTGCTGCCACCGGGGCAAAAACACTGGGGGTTCCCGAATTGCACATCTGAGCTCACTTGAGGGACCAGTCAATATGTGCCCAACACATATCTAGGCATGGGGAGTAGGATAAGCCCCCAACCACACACACAGTTTAGAAAACTGCATGAAAAATCAATACTTTTTCCCAACTACTGCTTCACCAGGAAAACCAACACATATTTTCTGCCCATGTAAGAGGATCTAGATTGTTTTCCTTCAGATTTCGCATTATTTAACATGTTTTTATCATTGTACCTGCTTCTTGCCTTCATGTCTCAGGTCGTAGCTTAGGTCACCGACTTGCAGTGAATGCAACACCAGGATTTTCTAACGCTCTGCGAGTCAGTAGTTAGCACAGAATAGTGAATTGTGCCTCAAAATGATTTCACGGCATGAGTGCGCCTGGGGATATGCTCCGGTGGGGATTCTATCAGCTCTGTCTAATGTGACTGTCTCAGCAAGGGGAACTAATATCTCCTGTGCCCAGCTGCCTGTTTCCACAAAGCTTTGAAGAAACCTGTTAATTTTTAGGTGCATCTTTTCCTCTCCTAACTTTTGTGGAAATTGGTCAAAACATCAATAACCAGTTCAAAAGTTACTTGGAAGGATAGACACAGGCAAATAGAACTCCCTAGACTTAAAGCCTGACTGCATTCCCTAGGGAAGACAGGATACAGTAGTTTCCACTCAAGCCAAACTTTAAAGAAGTTTGTGGGTGAAAGAATGGAGCTAGAAAAAAAAAATCACTTCACAGTCAGCATTACGTAATGGTGATAAAGCAAGAAACAGTTTACTTTTTTTCCTTTCTCAGTTCCTTGCTTAAACAAACTAATCCTTCATCTCTCACCCCTAAATGAAAACGAGAAGAAAAAAAATAAACATTTATATCATGCTTCGGAACTTCAGGGAAAAGAGCAAATTCCAGCTGCAAACTTTGTTATGAGGTCTAGGAGAGTTGGGAACTCCCAGAAGAGACATTCTGAGAATCCCATTTTTCATACTTCCCTCTACTTTCACAATCTTTACCACAAGAACAAGCTATTTTAGTTCTAAAAATCAATGTATTTTGATATATTATAACTTTACCCTTGCACTACTCAGTACCCTGCTGGTAAAAGAAGTTCTGCATAACTTGTCAACAGACTCTTTTTATCCCAAGAGGTAAAGTCACATAGTCCATACACAACAGCTTCCCGAAGGCGGGATGACAGAAGCTATATAAATCACAAATATGTTCATTGTTTTACTTATCTGGCTCCAAATGAACTGCAGCTTTTCACATACTCTATCATCATGCTAAAAATTTCAGGATGCATTATAAGCAGGCAAGCTTGATGGAACAAGACTCAACTTTCCAATATGAAAACCAGACCTGGTTTAAGCTTTTAAAAACAGCAGTTTTCTGTAATTCCTGCCTCTTTGGCCTTTACTAGCAGGACAGGATCTTTTCCATTATCCTGTGGCAATAAAGGGTGTACATTGCATTTGAGAGGGGCTGCAGAGAACGACCCAAGCAAACTCTCCAGTGTTTGTTCTACAGATGTGACCCAAGCCAGGCAGGTAAGATAAACTTCTCTACCCAGCAACAACCAAAATTAGCTCTCCATGCTAATTTAAATGGGATATTCATATTTCTAATGAGGGTCTCTTTTGAATTAAAGAGAAAAAAAAAAAAAAAAAGATTTGGCCAGTCTGGCAAAGCAGTCTCCAAATTAGGCATCATGGCTGCCAAATTAATTACTGGCCCCAAATAACTCCTGTTTGCTGGGACATGGACTAATTTACCAGGGCAGTGTAATTTGCAGTGCAGACTTTCAGGAATATTATCTCCTGGGAAATTTTTCGAAAAACAACAGATATTTCAAGCCATCCAGAGGTAAAATATTTGCTTTTTAGAATGTATCTTCATCAGCTTCTTGGCAGAAATACTTTAGAAGCACACAGAGCCTGGGATGAACACACTGGGAGCAGAAATGCACCTCGGCTCCTTAAGATCGAATGCTAGCTGTTTTCACATTTATTTGCAAGTCAATTTTGGAAACCTATTAATGACAAATCTGGCTTTCATTTCTGAAAGCCCCTGGGTTGGCGCAAGCTAATGAAAGAAACGGTTGCTTTAAGACATTACCTTTCATTTTCTCGTAGGATATCTTTTCCTTTCTTCCAAGAATAAGTAGGTCTGGGGGAAGCTTTTGGCTTACACTCTATGATCACTTCACCGCCCACTTTAACAAGAGTTAACTTCTTCACGAGGGTTTTGGAAAAGTCTGGGCTGACAGCTGAAAGAAAGAAAAGCAGGTTAGCATTACCTCCAGAGAAACAAAGTCTAGCTCTTTTAAGCATTCAAATGTTCCAGTTTTACGCCCGTGTAAAGGTGGGAGACCTTGAAGCATCCAGGGCCTGAACAAAGCATGAGAAGGCGGAATGTGAAAAACAGAAAATAATCCTAACACTGACATTGGGATGGGGCATAGGATCTCAGATATCTTGTCCCATCTCTCAAGTCTATGAATCAGAGGTTGCTTGTCTCTGAGCTGGCTGGTTGCCTATGTCCAACCACAGATGCTCCTGGTACTAGAAGAGTTGTTATTTGTACTGTATACTTACAATTTATACATTATTACTTTTGGAAATAAATTTTATATGATTCTCTGTTCAAAAACACTGTGTAAAATATTTTTGAAAAATCTTGACATTTGCATCTCTGCAAAAAAGTGTTTAGACTGCCTTTTGGGGCCCTTTAGGGGCTTTTTCTATGAGACATGGGCTGCAGGATATGGGCCCTGCTTGGTAAGGGGTGATGAGTACAGCACTTACTGGGGGATCAGAATTCATGAAATCTGGTGGCAAGAGGAAAATCTAACGTTAAATGTGCAAGATGTTGAAGCGCTCAGCCATGGGCTGAATCATCAGTAGAAAACAAGAAAAAATCTACAGGAATTGCAACCAACTGAGAATTGCACCTCACTGCGGGGGCAGCACAGCTAACGTTCTCACCGCTGCTTTACAAAATGAGGGGTTTCATTACTCTTTTTCCACTCAAGTCTTCCCTCCCCTCCTTTTTTTTTTTTGGCATTCAGTCTGAAAACTCTTCAAGGCAACGAATGCACCTTCCTCCACGGTTTTAAAATGCCCAGCACAACGGGATCCTGACGTTAGCTGAAGACTCCAGGCAATATAGTTGTTAACAGTGATAGGAGAGAATCATTCTGAGAAAAGCTCTGACTAATTTCCCATTTTTCTTTTTCACTTAATTTTGCTATAAGTCTCATTGCTATTAGTGGTGTTTAATCATATCAAGCGCTAAATTCAGGACCTTTTAAAATAACCATTTTTATACTTAGATCTTTTTAAAAGCCAATAGTTCTCAGCAAGAGCTCAGAATATTGAACTGCTTTGAAAGCGCTGGCAAAATGCAAAACAGAGCTGTTGCTCTTTAAAAACATGCCAAATTAAGTCAGAGAGCCATAGAAATAAATCTATAGCACACCATTCTGGTACTCCTCATGTAACATAGAGAAGCAAAATTACATAACCCAAATGAGAAGCTAGCCAAATATAGTTTATTTGGCAGGCTTTGAAGACTAGGCTCTCTGCATTCTTTGCTTCTGTGCATAAATATACACAGAATTTTCCCCCTCTCACCTTGATAGCATTGTGAAGGTAGAAACCAAATTCCTTACAAGTGTGCATGCCCTCTTGGTTTGCAGTTATTCTGTATGGGGATTTAATGTGGAATCAGTGTGGAGAGAGGGTGCTACGGTGTGAGCGAGCGGAACGATGGCAGGACTCATCCTACGATGATCTGCAAGGTGCTGTTCTCAAGCATGTGCATTTTCTTCACGTGTCAGAGTAACGTGCATCCGAGTGGGACACTGGCACCAACCGTCTCACTTTGGATGTGCATCTGCTTTGGTGTTTCTTGGCGGGCTTTGCTGCCGCGCTCTCGCTTTGGCCCTCGGGTTTTGCAAGCAGATATGTGAAATTGCTGCTCTGCAGCCGTCCTGCTGCCCGCCCCAGGGCTCAGCCGAGCGCCCTTTCAACTGCAAGCAACAACTACAGCTGAAAGAATGGCTTTGGTCTCTTTCTTGCAGTGGGTAACACTCTGGAGGTCCTCGGAACCTCCAAAATGGTGCAATGAAAGATGCGAAGCCTTTCTCTGCCATGAAGATCTGCCTTCCCGACAAAGGCTTGTTTTCATAGGGGTTTTTTAACAGACAGGAAAGGCACCAGTGGGCTTATCTGCATTTCTTTCATACAGTAAACACACCCAATAAGTCTTAGCACTATGAAGCCTAATTTATTGAAGATTATTACACTTTTCCTGAGCAGCAACAATAATATTTTTTCAAATGATTTTTTTTTCTAGGCAGACATCTATGACTATTGATAAAAATGACCATTGTTGAAAACACCATAACTAGAAAACACCTCATGCTTTTTTCTTCAAGATAAAGCAGGGCACAATGCTATTGAGCATTCTCTTTGAAAACAACTAAACCAACACTTTTTAATCACAAACTGCATTCAACCTAAGAAACTACATCTGCATTCTGACAAACATCTGTGTTGGCTCCAGGCCTGTTACTTATAGAAGAGCTTTAAGAGAAGCATTTAGGAGTAAAGCAACTGAATCCCAGAGCTTCTGAGGTGGGTAGGGACCTCTAGAAATCATTTGGACCAAGCTCCTCCTCAAGCAGGGGCAGCTTAGCAGGTTGCCCAAGGCTGTGTCCAGATAAATGTTGAGTATCTCCATGGATGGAGATCCCACAGCCTCCCTGGGCGACTTGCTCCAGCGCTCAGTCATCCTCAACAGTTAAAAAGCATTTTTTCTCATGTTTAAGTGGAATTTCCTGTGGTTGATTGGGCCCATTGCCTCTTGTCCTCTGGCTGGGTACCACGGAGAAGGTCTGGCTCTGTGGTTTCTGCACCACCAGCAGAACAGATGAGGCAGAAGTTGGTTTTCTTGGTGAGAGTGTGGGACTGAAGTGCTGTGATTGTCATTTGAATGGCGAAAAGCCCACTCAAATGGCAGGTCTTCTGACATTTCCTCAAGAGAGTCAGTGTCTGCAGTCAGTAGGGAGGCAGTTACTGTCCAATATGTTTTTGAAATGGGGCAATACTCAGGCTTCTCCATAGCATATTTCTAATCATCAAGAGATGCACGAGCTTGCCAGCTCTCGGTGCTCAGTTACCTGGATGAATACGAGAAGATGGGATGATGTAAATAAAATCTGTTCTCTGCATAACCACTTTGTCAAGTTTTCATTTTACGCATCCCTTAAAATAAGCCAAAACCTGTAAAAGATGCTCAAGAGCACTTTTCGTGATGCTGCAACTTGGCACAACCAGCTGTGGTTAAGGCTTTGCTGCTTGTGGAAAGTTTGCACTGTTCAGGAAATTAAACTTACCTATGACACTCAGTTCTGCACTGGCAAAAATAACACCGTGTCTGTTTTCTGCTACGCACTGATACATGCCGGCATCTGCCAAGCTCACATTTGTGATTGTAAGTGACCCCTGCTCTATCCGAATTCTCCCCTATAAAACACAAAATGAAATAAGTAAGTAAACCAGGAGCCCCCTCACTGGAGCACACACCCAGCAGGAGTTATGTCATATCATGGTTGATCAAAAATGAAAGAAAAAAAAGAGTAGTAATACAAGGAATTTGCATGCTACAATCTATTTGTCTGTCAACTGAATTTATGTCAGGTCAGATACTAAATGGAAAAAACAATACAGTAGTTTGTAAATGCAATTTAAATTGGAGGACTTTTCCTTGAGTTGATTTAATACCCAAACCATTTAGATTAATATCACCTTCAAGTAGACAAACTTAAATCTGAAAATGCACTTTTTTTCTATGGTGGTGTATCATTGCCAAATGTATTCTTTAAAACATGTTATTAGCATAAATGGCCATTGAGACTACTAAGAATAGTAGTAAGCTGGTCCAGAAAGAAATATTTAAAATCCACTGCAGTTTACTGAAAAAGAATACATGTAATATACTTTAATAATTTAATGATCTTTTTCTTCATATCTGTCACAATCATGATTTAAGTACAAGACCATCTGCTATTGACCAGCATGAAGCAAGTAAAATTAGTGTGTGGAACCACGGACCATGCTATCATTTGTCAGCCTAAGGATATGGAAGTCATGTTATCAATTTTAATAAGTACAACAAAGTGTTCCCTCCCTCCCTCCTCAGGAGTTTTGCCATTAAAAAAATTATTTATATATATATGTGTGTGATATATATATATATATATAAAATACAAAAAGAGCTATTGGCTTTCTACTTGGCTGTAGGGTGGGAATTTAATGTTTGTGCAATCTTCACTAGGGTTTCATCAATCAAGGCAACAAAACGGGGAGTGGGAGGAACGCAGGGCCATGGTTTCGTGGCCTCGGGCTCCACGTGCCTCAGGCACTGCCGCACGCTGCCCGCGCGCTCACCTGGGCCCGCAGGGGCTTGCCGTCCTTCAGCCAGCTGTAGGAGGGCTTGGGGCGCCCGCTGGCCCGGCATTCCCACTCCGCCGTCTCCTCCATGGCCGCGCGAGCGTCGCTGATCTTCTGGATCCAGCTGGGCTGAGCTGCAAGGCAGAACAGCGAGTTGGAGCCGAGCGCTGCCTTGCTGCCCCGGGGAGCGAGCGGCGACGCTGAGGCCCAGCCCCTGTGGTGAGGGAGGCTTCCTCCTTCCGCGTCCTTCAAAGCTCTCCGCTTTAGCAACCACCTTCAAAAACTGCAATTTACCACCTTCTCCACACTGAAATGAAGGTTAAATTCTGTACTTTAGATTATTTAGCTATACGCACTATTTCAGGTCAAAATCCTACCTTCTCCTCTTTCTAGTTTACAGCCAGTTCTACAAAGTATTGCCATATGTAAGAGAAGTCTGTGGAGTCAGCAACTCTATCAACAACATACAACAACTCTGGAACGTTAGAGAACAGGCAGATACTGGAGCTA